GGCTGAGGCACTGTTAAAAATTATTGAAATTCCATACATAAAACCATACTCCTAGTTTCCCCAACACATTCAAATATTTTTAAAGATACAAAGGTTATTCTTTAAAACAACTATGTGATTTTGGTGTTGTGCCTTGCATATTTCACCCTTCTGTAAAGCTGGATGATTCTGAAATATTTTGAACAATTGAGAAGCGAATGCTAAGAGTTAGTGTCAGTGCTGCATAATTTTAACAATTTGTACTTTAAAGGGTACTGTTGAATTACATTAACATGGCATTTTTAATGCCTCTTGGTAGGTCAGCTAAATATTGACGTTCTCACCACCCTCCCGCATTATGGACAGACACACTTGGCCACTGAAATCCTACTTTCCTCACTGAACCCATGGACAGGGAGATTTTGAGACTTCTGTGCCATGCTCTGCCTGTCACCCCAATCATAGCACATGCCCGATTTAATGCCCAGCGATTGCCCACAGCCAGACACAGCTCTGCAGCGACCACCACCGCTCCCCGAAACCCTGTGTCATTCTGTCTCCATCAGTGAAGCACCATCTCTCTGCCTGGTGCCACTGGCCCCGCTTTCCCACGGCCTGGCACAGCGCGCTGATTTATGAACAGGTGGTTTTTAAGAGGTTTTTACTAGCTCCTGTGTTAACTTATTTCACCTGGACACCAGCTTCCTGAACAGGCTCGGCTGTATTTTCAATCCACACCCCACCATCGCCGCAACGGGGTTAGTGCCTTCATCCACAGCTGCTGTTACTTTGGCTAACTCGTGATCACAGACCACTTTGGTGTGACTGTTTTGCCCTCTTAAAAAAAAAAAAAAAAGAATTTCAGGGGGGGAAAAAAACCCCACTAGTTGAACCTCCTCAGTTGTTCCCAGGGAAGAATCTGCAAAGAAGAAGCCACGTTTCAGGCGGCTGCTATCTAGCTTTCCTGGCGCTTTGGTTATTAATCTCAATGCAGAATGGTGGCTTTCGTCTTTTGCAGATGGGGGTCTCACTTCTGCAAAAGGCTGCCAATTGCAAAAACTACCATCCCGTGGTGTGCCCCCAAACATCTTATTTGTCTTGATATTTCTTTCACAGAAATACATATGACAGATAAGGAGTCACTGGAGGATGGTTTGCTTTGTGTCAGACAGATATTAAAACAATAAACTACGTTGCCCTGGGATTCCAGCGCACACACAGCCAGAGAACAAGGCCGAGACGAGACGTTCCTGAAAGGCAGCGAGGCAGTTGTTCTGGGAGAATTCCCTGGAAACCCCAAGTCCTATGATAGCGTTGACAGAAAGTACTTTTTAATGCTCACGTTTTTGTAAGAAGACCAACAAACTCTCTGGTGCAGCTCCCACATTGAACCCTGGGCCATGCCTACCTTCCACTGGTCCTTGGCAGAGGTGAGAAAGAGATCCTCCAATGGGTTGAGCAGCTTATTTTAGAGTTCATTTTTTTAAGCTCTCATGGGTACTTCATTTGCTTTCTCAAACTAATGTAGATTTAAAATGGGAGGAAAAAACCCCCAGCTATTCTGTGTTCAGACTGAATATGAAATTTTCAGGGGCCAAAAATAAGATCTTATTTGATTCCTGGAATATAAAGGGGGCAGCTTGATGCATTGGGGCAGATGTGTGCTCCTGGGGTACCTGGCTTTGTAAATGGAGCCAAGTCCTCTCTCAAAGTCGGCACGGCTGGGAGTGAACAGCTTAGAAGGGGGAGTAAGAACAGCCAGCAACATGTAATTCAAGTGCTGGAGGCGGGGCCGGGGGGTGGGGTGCTTTTTGGTGCTTCTTGCGAAGAAATGTGTCCAACCACCGAAGTGGCCCCTCCTCCCCTTGCCTTCTTTATTTTCAAAAGCAAATCTCCCTGTGCAGTGCAAAGAATCACGGAAGGAAGCCGAGCTTGCCTCCCATGGAAGGGAAAAGAGCCTGGCATAGTTCATTTAAACATAATTTAAACACTTGCTTCACTCCAAAAACACCATTTTCTTAAATCATGTTTTCATTTCCGTGTAAGTACTTTCGTGCCAAAAGCTATTTTATTGCTTCTGGAGAATTTGGGGGGAGTGTTAACAAAATGCAGTTTTTAGGACCAAATAACACACCACATATTTTCAATCTGTCTCCTTGGTTTTGTTTGCCTGCAGTGTAGACTTGATGCCTAATTGCTTTTTACGTAAAAACAAACATACCAGACCCAGTTCTGTAGGCACACCTGCCCAAGGATAGATATCATCCCCACCCTTGGTAATTGCTTCCAGGTTCCAAGAAGCATTTCCCAAAGGCTCGTTTCTGCTGGCAAAACCTAGTCCCCAGTATTGGTTTTACAAAATTCTCCCTGAGCAACAATCATTTAATGACAAGACCTGGATTCAAATAGAGGTGGGTCTACATCATCATAGTACACCTAGTGGATTGACCTTGGCCAAGTCTGATTGCCATGAGCATACTCGTGAATACCTACCCACTTGTGAGCATCCTTGTGTGAAGAGTCGTTCAGATTGCTTGAGGCGTTTTTATCTCCTCAAACGGATGGCTACACTTTCCCTTTCTTCCATAGAAGCCATCTTCTTTGAGACTTTTTAAAAGTTCACCGAAGAAGCTAGTCTGGAATGTTTGTTAGTCTAGTGACTGGACAACCTATTTCTGAATGGTTTTCCTTTAGTCTGTTAAAGATGGGAGTTTGGGGAGGGTTCCAGCTCAGGTATCAGGCAGGCAATCCATAGATCCAGATGACACCTGTCCTCAAGTTTTACATGGGGTGTGACTCAAAGGATTGGGATTCAGCCTCCCAAAGGTGGAAGCTGACTCTCAAAATCCGATGGCCCCAACACTGACCATCTATACCCACAGTGATGGCTGGAATTAAAGTGGACAATGCATTTGCATCGTGTAACCATCCTGTGAACCACCGCCAACCCCCTCTGAGGGCTTCACCTGCAGGAGCTGCAGCAGCCCCAGAGAACCATGGGAAATCCATCCCAACATATGAAGCTAATTTATCTCCCTTGCCTTGTTTCCTACGTGGAGAGGCAATTCACCAGGCTAGCTGTTTCAGCCACCTGTTAGCCAGATCGTGAGCGATTTAACAAGTGAAACTTTGCTGTGTATATGCACTTGATAAAGTAATTATTTATATAAACTATTTGCCTTTTTTCCCATGGCTACCTGGTAAAAGCTAAATTGACACAGCTACAGGTTTTGTCAAATGAACAGAGTATGGCAAATCGCTTCATCCAAATTAAAATAGATCTCAGCATCTCGCGGCTTTGTCTCCAGAGTTCCTTCAAATAACAGAAAGCACCTTTGCAAATGCCTTCCGTGGTCCCGCCAAGTCAAGCCCTCCAAGACTGAGATTCATTCTCGTTGTGCTGAATGAAATGTTACAAAAATCCTGCCCGGGTTGGGTATTGTCAATACCTCTGCCGTAGATAGATCACAAATATGTCTTCTGCAAAGGAAAATTGTATCTCTGCGCATCCGGCAGCCATGGCACTCACCGCGCATGTCTGTTGGATTAATCAGACCATTTGTAGCCCAGGAGAGAAGAGACAACAGCTAACTTCGGGAGGTAAGCAGGAATAATGTGGCAATTATTTAAAAATCAAGGCTGCCGTCCTCATTCAAAGACTTAGCGATGAAAGAATATCCACGTAAGCATTGTGTGTGGGTTTTGTTGCCACTTTTTGAATTCGTTTTTAAGTTGGGAAACATTTCTGCTTTGGGAACACCAGACTCACTGCTCAGAGTAAATCATCCCTGTGCGTTCATGGCGTTTAGGTTTCTTTATTTTTTAATCCCTGGATGACTCATCTATTTCCTTTCTAAGGAAGAGACTGTTTCTAACCAAGTTATGAGTGAAGTGATATTTGATAACAATATTAAATCAATTATATAGAAAAAAAGTGCATTATCCCAAATATGAAAGTTTTTATGCAAGTCTCTCAAATCTTGGAGAATTTCTAGTTGAAGTTAGTTGTAAGGAGCTCATTATTTTGACAGTAACGAGGTTTGTGGACACAACACCACACTAGTGTACCCCAGGTCCCCATTGCTGGGAGAGTCCATTTCCCCAGTATTTTTGGATATGTGGAAATAAGCCCCAGTGGAGAAGGAAAACAGCTTGCTTTGGACTCTTACCGGGAACATAAATCGGTAGTGATCCCTGTGGCCTGTATCCAATTAGTAGAAAAGGAGCAAAGCCCTTCCAGGTGTCTTGAAATCTCAGCACATAAATAGAGAACAGGAGAAATGGCACCTGCCTTCCCCCTCCTCCTGCCTCCTGTCCCCAACCAGGAGCATATTGAGGTCTCAGGGAGGCTTGTCAAGAGTCTCCCCTGCAAATTCACTCAGTCCATGACAAACTGGGCTGGTTCTCTTGGTTGTGGTATGAATATGGGGAGAGGATGTAGCAGCTTGTACTGCTCTAAGAGGCCATAGGAGGGTAGTAAAAACTGAGAGGTCCTAAGGAGCAGGGAGAGAGTGGAAGTAGAAAGTTTTTGCCCAGAGCCGACACGGGTTGCCTTGGTCCAAGTTGCCTCGTTGCTTTGTTGTATAATAGATAAGATGATGGGCTCTAGTGTCAGGCTGTCTGAGAGCGTTGGGCGAGCTTCGGGGCTGTTGCACGTCTTCCTGTTCTCCCCAGGAGAGTGAAGGTAGCAGTAATGCCTGGCTCGTATGGTTCGTGAAGATTTACGGAGTTAACCTTGGGGTCTGGCGGTTAGCAAGTGTCAGTAAATAGTAGCTGATATACAGTTGAATCTCCTCTGTGTGATAATGGAGTACGAGAAGTTGGACTTCGGCCAACTATAATCACAGCTTTGCTTCGACTTTTCCAGTTATTGTTGTCTGGACTTTCCTCAAGTGAGGTTGAGTCCCTCATCACTCATGTCCTCACTAAACCTGACTTTGTCTTAGCATATGCACCTTTCATAAGCAGCGTGGTAGCAACTCTCACAGGTGCAAGGACTGTCCCCCCTTTTTCGTCTGTAGCTGAACGACTGTGGCATTCTGAGTTCATCTGACAACATACTCAATAAACATTGCAGTAATTACCAGAGGCCAGGTAATCCTGTAGCTGCTAGAGACACAGTATTGACCAAAATAAAGTCCTTAGGACATCCCCACGGAGAGCTATATAGTGAGGGTGCAATCCGATGAGGTGGTAAGGGCCAGATGAGTCAAGGGAAGGAAAAAGGCTATTGACAGGTATGGCTGGGACACGTCGAGGAGATGGGGAGAAGCCCTTGGGGGAAGAAATGACAATGGAGCCAGCATTTGAGTGAGCCGATCAACTCAACATTTAGGGACAGGACAAAGGAATGAGAACATGCAGAAGCCACAGAGAAGAAGCAGCCAGAAGAGGCTGGAGGAAAAGGCAGCGTTGCAGCCTCATACAGTAAAGATTTACATCAACAAATTCGGCTCGGGCGGTGCAGCCACCATCTTTTTTTTTTTTTTTTCCCCTCCTTTCTGCTTTCAAATAATGTGGTTTTTTCTCCAAGTTCAAGTTCTTGCCAATTCCTTTGACACATCCTAATCAGACCTAGAACAGCCAAGAAACTTCTGGCTAATTTGGATTTGACTAAAACTTTTGTACCACGATGCTATGTAGAGAGATTCAATTATGGTGAGCGATGTTTTGTGAGTAACTACCACCCATAAAAAGTTAATTAATCAGGGCTGTGTCAATTTCCTCGTGCCATGTCAATTTGCTGCCAGGTAATTAATCACTAATCACCCACCAAGCAGCAGGCTGGGGGGACAATCCACGAGCCATTTATTGTCTTTTCCCAAATAAATGGCACGCGCAGCCAGGAAGAAACACATCTTGCCTTTCATAATATTTTTATCGACACTTTTGCAAGTTGTAATAGACTGTAGCAACAAGCAGCTGCAGTTCAATGGGATATGAATATTAAGGAAACAAATGAGCAGAGATTTATAGGACATTGCGTTTCTGTTATGTCAGTTTTGAGATTAAACCCAGCAAATGAACAGTGAAAAATTACTCTTCCATGTGGGGAATGGTGATTAGACTTGTACATTAATTAGAAATTTTTGTTTTCCTATTCAATGCACCTCAAATGAGGATGTCCTATAAGGAACTGTTTGTCCAAAATGTAGATTTATTCACTTCTAAACAGCAGTATTTAATATCAACATGCATTTTGAAATGAAACAAGAGTCAGCCCCAAATGTGTGGTTCAGGGATAGATGTATGAGAATATGAGAATCAGAGATTCCAACAAATTAAGTGGCTATTTTGGTCTTTTTGTAAATGACTGAATGGGTGGGACAACCCCTTTCTCTCCCAAAACCTTGAAATTGCTGAATTTTAACAAAATTGAAAGCCGTTCCATTTTTGTTTTGACCTAGAACTAAATGTGCTCCATCATATTAAATTTCCCATTTGATGCCATTCAAAGAGAGTGACCCAGTTGCGTATAAATTCTGTTATAAACCAATTTGATGTAATTTTGAGATTCATTTTGAAAAAATAAGCAAACATTTTTGTCATTTGGAAAAAATAATCCTCTTCCTTGTGAAGTTTATCACACAACACTCTGCCCCTGAAATTGAGCTAGAGCTGGTTGTTTATTTCACCTCGGCATGTTACCTATTATGCCACTTCTTAATTTACGGTCCGGCACGTGAAACGAGTTCCCCCAAGGCGAATCCTGCAGAACCGTGAACCTGCTGTTGAAAGCACAACTGCACCCCCAGAATTGTGTAAGTGCATATCTCCTACCATAAATTACCCGCAGAACGATTCAACCCCGAATTAGCGCTCAATCTCAGACCACTCCAGGGGTGGGCAAAGGTGGCAAGGGAGAGAAGAGGGGGACAAAGAGAAGCCCTCTCCTCCATTCTGATGGAACACCTTTTCCAGGGCATCTGGCAACCTCATGCAAATTCAAACCAGCGCACAAATGCAAAGAATAATTGCCCACTACCGCGGCTCTATATTTTTATGGCTTTGATGCAGAATCTGCCCCCCTGTTGGCTTTTGCATCTGCTACTCTTCCATCTCTCCCAAGGCTCTAAAACTTTAATATGCACTTTATAACCCTCAAGTATTTTCCACTGGTTTTGTGTTTCTTCTTTTGGGATTTCCGGGCTAGTGAGATGATCTCATTTGTGTTTATTTCGAAGGTAAGCACCATATTCGTAAAAGAGACAGAGGGGGAGCGCGCATGTTTGTCACTGTAAATACACTCAGTGCAGAGCTCAGAGAAGGTGGGAGGTGGGGGCTTTCTCTTTGATGGGAGACAGGCGGTAAGCAGTTGACACTTTGGTAAATGGCCCATTTGGCTGGTTGATACACCCACACATCTTTCGTTTAAAAATGTTGATTCGCCTTGATACTTGAGCACATCACAGCATGCCTCTTGTTACATCCCTAAAGTTTCCATTTCATTGAGTTCCATGGTATACAACTCCTTGTGCCCAAGAACTGAGCGAGTTATTCCACTCACACTCCCCCAAAATATGCTGTGGGTATCAATCTAGCTGAAGGTTGGGAGTGGGTAGGCAGGGAATGTTGATGTGTCAACAAGATGCGCAATTGGTATTTGCTCCAAAAGCTCTTGCCCTGTTTTCTTTGAGAGAAACTCATTTTTAGCTTATGAGCTAAATCCAATTTTCGTTGCAGTGATACCAGATTTTTCACTTTGATTCATGCTGGATAAGGTTTAAGAGGGAACCTTTCCAGTATAATGAACCTATGTTGTTTTTTTTTCCTTCTTCCCTTGTCTCCCTCCTGCCAACAACTAAGGATTTATACTGTGTCCACAAAGCAACCTGAATATTTTCCATTGTTCCCCAATGATTGTCTCTTTACATGTTTATTAACTGGATGTTCAACTAGAAAAAAAAAAATCCAGCTCCAGCACCAGGGCTTTAGAAATGCCTATAATTTGGTGTCTTTTCTTTCTAACACTGTTTTTTCATTAACAAAGAGGCTTTTACAAATATGGGACAGGGTGACAGGTTTATGACTTTTATTAACATTGATTTACTCTGTTCCAGAAATGGAGAGGACATTGTGAGTTTCCATTTGGCTTTTTTGCATTAGATTTATTAAACATTTATTGCCCACTTACTGGATCCAAACTCCTGAACTGGGGCACTGATAGTGTGATAACTTTGACTCAACAAAAGATAGGTGTCGTGTCCCAAAGCAGGCACATAATTGAGATGTCTTCTTTCTGTGTGGTTCAAGGATAAAGCCATTTTGGTTTTGTTTCATCTGTATCTGAATCATCTAAGTAATTGTTTCAAATATGCATTTAACCGTGTCCCAGAACCAACAAGCCAATGCACATGGTAGGCAAGTAAACAAATCCGTTCCTTCCATCCTAAGTTGAGTCTAAAGGAAGCTTAACAAACAGTTGTGGGGGGTTTTGTTTTGTTTTTGTTTTTACCTGTGCAATTGACCATTGGTCTTAGTGGCAAGAGAAGAGAGTCACTCAGAATCCTAAACCAGCTGCAGGGGAGACCTCCTCTAATGGAGATGACGAGAAACACAGAAGGCTCAGCCAAAAATCACAGAAGTTAGGGATTATAAGCAGTGTTATATTCATTGTTCCTTGTGGCACACATTTACTGCACTCAGAGATTTGCTCGCTTGCCAGAGAGCACTGTCTGGGGCTCTATGAAGGAACCTGACCCCACAGGTCCTTTGGTAGGTATCAGTGTCTGTGGGGGGGGGGACGTTTGAGTCCTGCTTTTCCCCAGAACAAGAATCTGATCTCCCAATCCCTACACAGCACAGCAATGAACGTGAATTGCAATGAATTAAGGTTTTGCAATAATTCCAAGTACAATGCTTTTATCCAAGTCCTCTCCCTTTTTATCAGAACCACACATATGCCCACTGTGGTTGCCATCTTGGGCCAGCGCAGCACCTGTGAGCTTGGTTGTAGAACGTACTTTTATAGGGATCATGACTGAGGGCCAGTTGTGTCGTTGGCTCCCTGTGTGTGCGCGAACCCCGGGCAGGACACTTCGTATAGAGGGCGGTGTTGTGGAAGGTGCAAGGTGAAGGGTCAGTGCCTCTGTGGTCCCAGAAGGAGGGAGACAAACACCGGTTCACCTCCAAAGGGTATCCAGGCACCTGCTCTGTGCCAGGCACTCTTCTGAATCAACAGGTAGAACAGATAGAGATCTCTGCCCTCGTGGAGTTTACATTCTAGCAACAGTGGGAGTCCTTCTCTTTCATTTCTGTCATCCAAGCTACTTGATTGCTAGTACACCCGGAGAGCTTTGTGGCCACTTCCTTCCAAAGAAGATTAAAACATAAATGAAAGTAGGAAGCAAGGAAGGAAGGAAGAGAGGAAGGGGAGAAAGGAGGATCAAATAAGAAGGAAGGAAAAAGGAAGGAAGTGTTCATTAATCATGATGACAAACTAGAGGCTTGCTAAGGAGACCCCTTGGCAGCCCGAGACTGGTAACAAAAAAGAGATAGCTGAGCAAACCATCCATCTAGGAGACACCCGTGCTTCCTTTATGAAGCCTCGGGTCCAAAGCATGATCTGCACGAACCTCCTTATTTTGCCTAAGGGCACTTGGCCCCTCCAGAAAAGCGTTTTTTTTTAAACCAGGAGTTGATGTGTTGTCTTTCCTGTGTTCCTTTAACAAAATAAGAATCCCTCTAATGTGCCTAGCTTGGAGGAGCCCCCCAAAGCCTTGCATGAAGACCTGTCCTACCTCATCCTGCCTCGGGAGGGACATCCCCCCCCTGTAGCCAAGGGTGCAAATGGAGCCCCGGCTCCACGCTTTCCAGCAGCTTGTGCTGTCCCCGCTTCGCTGCCGAGCTTCTGTTTCACCTTGTATCTCAACATCTAAATCTTCCAAGAATTATTGTAAAACCTGCTTGTCGCTGAGAGGGATCTGGTCTCACTCAGTCTGCACGGGAGCTGGCGATAATGAATGGGTCAGCATAATTACCGTGTCTCCTCACCCAGGCAGCTCTGCCACATTGTGAATTTTTCATTTTCTTTATTTCAAAATCCAGGGCGTTCTTATGAAAACTTAATATTTGAACTGTGGCAAGATGGACTTAGAGTCACAGCCACGCTCGCTCATTTTCTGGCCAGTACTGAAGCAAACAGCTCCTATCTCATTACTTCTGGGCTTCTACGGTGTTAAGACTTACTGGCTTTCCCCGTTAGGAGTGACACCTCTCTACCATTTCAAGCACATTCGCACGAGCCACGGGGTGCGGGTGAGGAGGGGCCGGCCAGCTGAGAGTTAAGTACAGCTGCACGACATGACTTGAACAATAAGAAAAAAAAAAAAGTTAAAAATAACCTTTTAGGGTATGGTCTTTGCAGACACAAATAGAAAGATAAAATCACTCTGACTTCGTTGTACAGTTCCAGCATTTTACCCTCCATGGTGAGAGAAAGATCTGGTGGAATCCATGAGAACATGCCGAGAATTGCAGGTGATAGTCCGTCAGTCTTTACTTCAGGTTCAAGGGTTCTATTCCAGTCCATGTGATTCTGTGAGGTGTAGGGGATTAGGGATGGCTGCTTCGTCTCCCCATTCCCTGCCACCCCCCCACCCCCACGCAGCTAGGGTATAGCGTATCCAAGGACGCCGTGGCTAATGAACAGATGGGGTTCTGCGCCTGTATATGGTGGTAAGGGGAGAAGCCCCCCGCCCCCACCTTGGCAGTTTGGATATAAGCTAGAAGCAACTTCAACACAGCCTGAGACTCAACATCCTGTGAGCAGTTAGGTGTTCCCCCAAATGGAGCTCCCGGGGAGAGGTGTGCGTGTGCTGATTACCTATGTTTGAAAGCCTCCCTTGTGGTAGGATGCTCTGAGCATGGAGGCTCCTGTCCCTCCCAGCCTTGTCTGTCCTTACATACACTGTGTGAACTCCCAGGAGAAGGGGAGCAGGGGAGGAGGGGGGGCATGCAGGGGAGGAAAGCCTTGCCGCCCTGCTTCCTTCTACCTGTTCCTCCCTCCCTCTGGAAAGCTCCTGTGTGTCAGAGTAGAGGGTGGGGAAAGAACCTGGGACAAGGAGGGGAGGTTGCAGAGAGAGTCTGTCCATCCTTTGGCCTGCCCACAACTTACAACTTAGTTCTCTTGTTTATGTACTTAAGCCACCCCTACATTCATTCAGGTGTCCAATATTTAGAACCTACTGTGGGTAAGATCAGGGGGCTTCTGCTGACTCGGGGAGGCACGGGCAGAAGTGAAGACAGATGGGCGGGGCGGGGGGAATCCTGGAGCAACTTGCCGGTTGATAGGGGAGAGAAAAGGTAACACAATGACTGAGCCCCCCTTTTTGAAACCAATACCCATGAGAGGTTGGGTGTTTTGGGCCTTTAAAACAGATCTCCTGCCACAGTGGATTCCCCAGTGGGATTTCCCAGAAAAGTGCCTCCTCCCTGGGATGCGGTTTGGGCGCCCTGCCTGCAGTTTAGTGGGGATGGCACGCTCGAGACTGGCACAGTGAGAGCACTGAGATTCAGACACGCAGAAGCAAGCAGAAGTGGTTTCCTGAAGGCTTCCTGGGCCCCAGTGCGTCCGGATTTGCAGACACCCTAGGAGGAAGGACATCCCAGGCAGAGGCAAGAGAATGAAATATCAGGGGTCTCTGGCATCAGGCTTAATTTCCCTCTTGACTCCTCAGCAAGCCATCCCACTCAGAATTTTCCTCTGAGGAGGGAAACTCAGCCCACACCCTCTTCTGAAGAGTTGCGTTCCCAGACTTCTCTGTAATTACGGTTGTTGTGTGTGCCTTAAAAGCTGTTAAATGGTTTGGAGGCTGATGGGACATCGGTAACCATTTGTTTCTTGGCACATAAGGGATTTGCACACTTGCGATGCATGCACGTGTCTGTAGGAACACTGTATTGCAATTAAAAAATTTTAACTAGCAATATATGTACATAAAAGAAAATGTGGGAAATAAATAACGGGATAGGGAGAGCAATCAGTAGATAACTAACACACACACAGTTCAGCCCCAGAGATAACTAGGAACACACTGAAATATGTATGTATATGTGTACACAAGTGTATGCGTATATACGCGCACATATAAATATGCACATGTACACATTCCCATACACATGTGCACACAATATACATATTGGCATGCATATTCACCTACGCATGCACACACCTATGTGTGGATACATCATACATGTATATTGTGTGCCCAGACACATAAATCTATTACACACAATATACGTCTGTGTGTGTATGGATAGACGCAGAGAAGTTGGCAACACAAGGCACATACTTCTTGCAATCTACCTTTGTAGAATTTTACCTTTGTGCAGTGAGCTTGTCTCCCGTTACCACGAATTCTTTGTAAATGTTTGCCATTTACCATATTCACTTGGGCACAGGGACCATCGCCTTAACTAGCCCACCTTGTCTGGAATCGCGCCTTGACCTCTCCCTTTGCTGCCGCCTTTGGAACCCCGCCTCCCGGTCGAGAGCCAGGTGTCCAGCCTCGGCCCGCAGAGCGAAGGGTCCTGGGTGGGCAGGTTGTCCTCCATGACAGGTGTGCTCCTGAAAACCTTTGCTCTGCTCTCTCCTTTCCCACCCTGCAGTGCCCGGCTTCCCGTATCCAGCCGCCACCGCCGCGGCCGCCTACCGAGGGGCGCACCTACGAGGCCGCGGCCGCACCGTGTACAACACCTTCCGGGCGGCGGCGCCCCCGCCCCCGATCCCGGCCTACGGCGGGTAAGTGGGGCGGCCTCCCCCGCCGCGACGGCCTCCCGCACCAGCCCCCTCCCGTTTTTGTGAGTGCATGCTGGTCTTGACTGCCCCCCCAGAACCGCCCCAGCATGCAGCCCGGGGCGCGCCTGCCGTGGAGCACCTTGCAAAGAGTATTGAAAAATGAGTGTAATTTGTCCCGTCATGGTTGGTGCCTTTAAGCATTCTACATGTCACATGTTGTTATGTAAATTCTCTCTGAGACTGAATGCTGGAGAACAGAGAAATGGCTACAGCCAAAGATGTATTTCTGGTGATTGCAAACATCTGGCTATTAAGGAGGTTGGATCACATTTGCCCCTTGAATCTGTCCATGGAGGGACATGAAGTCCCCAGACATAAAAGTCACTGGGGTGGTCTTGCTCCCCTCCCCTAAGACACCTTGCTCATCAAGGTTTTATGAACCCTTGCCTGAGAAGAGAAAATTAGGTGTGGAGTCAAATCGAAACATTCGAAAGTTCAAAGAAATTGGAAATAAGACCCGTTTCGGTTGGATTTTCCAAAATGGGCATTTGGCTTCCTTTCCCCTCTGCAAGGAAATGTGGGGTAATGTGTTCCCCATTGGCGGTTTGGTATCTGTGTGCATGGACTCTGGTATTGCCAAGTGAAGATCAAGGAATGACAGGGAATGCGAAGAAACAGTGGTCTTGGTGTGATGGGCTGCAACCCCGCAATGCTACCCTTTCTTTCCTCCTGTTAAGGGATCCCCCTGGAACATTCTGGCACCCCTGGAGTCAGGGAGAAAGGGATGTCTCAGCCGGTCCTCAGGGGATGTTTGGACTGTCCGGGGACATTTTGGGTTGTCACAACAGGAGCAGGAAGGTGCGATGGCATCTAGGAGGGGGAGGCCAGGGATGTTGCTCGACATCCACAGTGCACAGGACGGCCCCCAACGCAGAGTTATCAGACCCCAAATGTCAGTAGCGCTACTCAGAACAACTCAGCCATGCCCAAGGCAGTATGGTCCAAGGCTTTACCAGCCAACGACTGGCTTTCTGGTCTGTAGAAAGAATATGGCTGTGTTCCAGGCTGTATGAAGAGGGTTAATGCATTTTTTATAGTTCTATTCCTTATAAATCTTTTAGAAAACCTGAATTAGCTTAGATCATTTCTCTGTTATACTGATGACAAAGGGAACCACTCTTTTTTTCATTATTTATTCATATCTCACCCACTGCAGAGGAGAGCACTTGAAGTGTTTCAAACACATGCAATGAGACAAAGTTAAGAATATAAATAATCTACATTCAGTCTTCAGGAGGAGAAAACAAAGGCAGAGAGATCGGTCCGTGTTCGTAGTTTCTTGTGTTGTCATTAACCTTGGGTCACTTCTGAGTTTCTTAGTGGACAAAGCAACAGTGAAAATGTCTTTCTCATGGAAAGATGGTGGGTAATAATAAACCAAGGATGAATTTGCCCTAAATTCTCCCCACCCTCCAAAAACACCCATCTGCACCTCCGGAAGCCTTTATCTGACCATGTATTATATGGAAGCATCCACAGTGTTAATCATTATTTCCAGCCCCACAGTGTTGAGCCTGTTTTATAGACCCAGAAATGCAGAAATAAAGACGTGTTATTCCCAAGGTCACACAGTAAGTTGTTATGAAGGGAAAAAACCCCACCAAGTTACCCTGTAGGCTCATGTAATTACTAAAGCAAGATGCATAAGCCATAAATACAAAATTGCATGTTTATACCACATTAGTTTGTCTGAAAATTATTGTCTTATCTTAGTAGACGGTAATTGTAGCTTTTTGGTATATGTACCCTCCGTATCTCACTACTATACTGAACAGGAAAAACAAATAAAATTATATGTCTTATCCTCACATGAACAATTTATGAAAATCTCCCAAAATAACACACCTGCCGTAAAATTGAAATTCGCTAACTTACAATGAACTCGCTCTTTGCCAGGGAAGAACCACGCATAACTAATTAATGCCACGTTCACCAGGGAGAGACACAGGCATCTCCAAATGGTGAAGCAACGTGTTTGTGACTGCTTCAGACATGACTTAATTTAAATATTCCAGCAAGATTCCTAATCATTTTGGTTATAATGGTACATGGTGCCTCTTTGCTGGTAATATTCCAAGTGGAATCCTGAGGAAGATGAAATTCTCAACACAGGAGGAGGAGGGGCAGAAAGGCTAGGGGCGTGCGTGTCCATGTCTGCAAGTTCTATAAGAGCAAAGTGCTGGTTGAAGATAGGAAACTCAGCGAGGGTGTTTTGCTGTATTACAAACTACCTGGAGTGCACTGGCGCCTAATGAGAAAATGTAAACCCAGCATCTTAAATGAAGGTTTCCCTTTTCTTCTGCTTGTTGGCTGAGGCTGCAGGAGACTGCAGGGGGGCAGCTCATTTTGAAAAGAATAGCAGAGGACAACTCATGTCCCAGCAGATATGGGCTGGAGTGGTGAGAGCCCTGAGCTTGAGTGGAAGCAAACAGCAGAGAGATTGGAAACCTACTTCTGTTTCCAGAAAGTGACGTTATCAGGATTCAGGTGGTCCAGGTGATTGTGTGGGTTTCCTGTAGCCGTTTGTCTCCAAAGTCCTTTGAGGGGAGATTTGTAGAGTCGACTAATGTCTTTACTCCAGTGCAGTTCAGCCTAACATCCCTTTTCTCAGTTCCAATGCATTGTCTTGCACCTTTGAGGAGTTCCTTCTAGTTAGGGGCAGGGGGTACCATATAAATTAATAATTTCAATAAATGTGATAAGTGCTAAGGGTGTTCTGTGAGCACCAAGGAAGGCCCCTTAGCTCAGCTTGGGTTTTTAGAGAAGGCTTCCGGCAAAAGAAGAAATGTAGGATGCACTGAAGTCCAACCACTTCCTAAATTGCCATGCTGAGATCCCATTCTGCCATTCTCCCTCACACCCAGTGATCCCCATCTTTTCTAAGATGTCACCCAGCGAGCTGCATTTATTATGATTTTCTGTTTGTCATCAGTTGAAGATAGAGCTAACTGCCAACCTAAACCTGTGCTCTTCATGAAGTATGTAATATATACTTTGTTACTGAAATTCCAACCAAAAATGTGTCATTTATCCTATGTCCATTTATGGTTCCATATTGTTTTCCCAATATATTGAAAAACAAAATCTGGGCACCTGGGTGGCTCAGTCATTTAACCATCCGCCTCTTGGTTTTGGCTCAGGTCATGATCTCACAGTTGGGGGTTCAAGCCCCATGTCAGGCTCTGTGCTCAGTGTGGAGTCTGTTTCAGATTCTCTCTCTCTCTCTCTCTCTCTCACACACACACACACACACACACACACACACATTCTCTCTCTCTCTCAAATAAATTTTAAAAAGAAATCCCACAGAACCTCCATGGCTACTTCTGTGGAGCTTTGGGTGACCCTCGGAGGTATCCAACATTGAGATAGTCCTACAGGCAGATTCACCAAGCATGCCTTCCCATTTATCCATTTCCTTTGATTGATACGGTTTTCTCCTCCACATCCTGGTATTCTCTGAAGTCCCTCCCAGCAAGTAAAGAGCACAGGTTCTGGGGAGGCCCTATTCTCTTCTTTCTCACATAGCTAAAAAGAAACTTCTTGGGACATTAATACCTGATCATTTGCTCTGGGGGAGGGTGTTCTGCTTGGACCACGGAGGGACCACAGGAATGGGTGGAAAACCTAGACTGATCCAGCCAACTCACTGTTGATTGTCAACATTAACTGAATGAGGATGGGTGATGAGTTAGAAACCTAGTGTCCCACCCCTTTCCTGGGAGGCTCCTGCAGTTCATAGACACCTCATTCCCTGCAGACCACAGAGTTGGCTTTGGACGGAGGCACTTCAATAGTTTATGGAATATGTAGATCATAAATAAAATATTAACTAGTGAATGGTTTCCGAGAGAGCTGAATCACCTGGTCTGCCATATTTCTCCTTGCATTTAATCCTGGAGTCGGTTTTGATAGAGAAGCCTCCATGTCCGGTCTGTCTTCCTATGTCTCACATGTGGGAGAAATTACCCATTGGGCGATTGCCATCCAAAGGAGCTTGCAGATTGATGACCCATGGATGGAGATGGCAGGTAGATGCACTGGAGACACATCCCCCGGACTCAATACAACATCTGATACTAGAAGACAGTACCTGAACCCCAACACCCCCCCAAAGGAATGCTGTGAGACTGGCCTCACCAAATTCTTGTTCTTAATTAATTAGCTACTTAACTATTAAGCAGCTGCTTACCAGGTGCATGCTCTGTACCATGCATATCATCTGGGGACACAGTAGAGCGCTCTAATGGAGCATCAAAGAATATTTTAAAAAATTGTTGCTACTCTAAGCTAAAAGTCCAGCATCTGCTACAGGGGTTTGGTCTTGGTTCTCTGGGTATCTTTGAACAAGGTGTTCTATACTTTCTCAGGAAATTAGTTATGGCACATCTATGTACAACTTCTCAGAGTTACCTTGAGAAGTGGTTTGAGGACACTATGCTATTTTTGTGTATTGGAGAGCTGTGGTAGTATCCCAGGAAAAAACTCTTAAAGCTGGCCCGTGCAAGAATGAACCCCACACATAGATCCTTGGGAACGCTTTCAGGGTATGTCCTAGGAAAGCGTCTGACACCAGCCTCTGGAGCTATGTGTATGTGCCTCTCTGGCTATAAATGAACCACACTTTCTGGCTTTAATTTCTAAATGTCTAATCCTCAGACTGTATTGTCTATTGTTTAGGACCTTTCTCATTTAATATGAACACTAGGAACCAAAGTCATCATCCATTATCAGAATATTTTCCAGAATTCTCTCTAGCTTTTTGTTTGTATGTTCGGTTTTGGTGTGAATTCTTGTTCAAACTTCCAGCCAGTTTTGAAGTGTGACCTCTTTTACATTTTTTAAAAAGCTTCTGATTTGACTGCATCTATAGACAAACACCATAAATCAGTGGTTCTTAAATTTTGGGGTGGAGGGGAGCGTTATGTCACAGATGCCTTTAG